AAAGCAAACTAAATCCCTACTCTGAAGAAGCTCAAAATTTAATAGGTGAGAGAATATGCAAACTTCAAAAACAAGTATAGATATAGATATAGGCTAAATTGGAACTAATCTCGGAGAGAAGGCACTAGAATTAAGGGAGGCCAGAAAAGACTTCTTGAAAAAGATAGGATTTTAGCTGAGACTTAAAAGAACCCAGGAGACAAAAATAAGCAAGGAGGGATTTCCAGGCATGGAACCAGAATGTAGATGGAATATTTTGTCTGGGGAACACCAAGGAGGCCAGTGTAATTGAATTGTAGAGTGCAGAGGAGGGGAGTAAGGTGTAAGAAGGCTGGAAAGGTAGGAAAGAGCTAGGTTTTGACAGTGTTTAAAACCCAGAGCAGTTTATATTTAGTACTAGAGGTAATAGGCAGTAGTAAGCCTATTGAATGGAGTGGTTTACATGGAAAGGTCTGCACTTGAGGAAGATCATTTTACCAGCTGAGTGCAGAATGGATTGGACTGATTCTAGACAGAGAGACCAACCAGAAGGCTATTACAGTAACCCAGCTGTGAGGTGAATGTGGGCCTTCACCAGGGTGTGACAGTGACAGATGAAAAAGAAGGAGGCTTATGCAACAAATATTGCGAAGACATTCATAAACTACAAGACAGCAACAGATTTAATATGGCAAGAAGAGTGAGGAATTTAGGATGACATAACTTATGAGCCTAAGTGACTGGGAGAATGGAGATGTCAATAGTAATCAGAAAATTAGGAAGACGGGATGGTTGAAGAGGAAGGACATGGTGAGTTTAAGATGTCTTCAGGACATCCACTTTGAGATGTCTAATAGGCAGTTGGAGATGTGATGCTGGAGATCAGGAAAGAATTTAGGGCTAGATAAATAGATCTGAAAATATCTGCATAGAAATGATGATTGAATCCATGGAAGCTGATGAGATCATCAAGAGAAACACTATAGAGGGGCCTAAGGCAGAGCCCTTGAGTACCCTGACTATTAAGATGAGTGACCTGGATAAAGATCCAGAAAAAGGAGACTGAGAAGGAACAGTCAGGCAGATGATGGACATTCAGGAGAGAATCAGGCCTAGAGAGAAGAGAGTATCAAGGAGAAAAGGGTGATCTATAGTCTGAGAGGCTGCAAAGAAATCAAGAAAAAGGAGGACTGAAAAAAGTCATTAGATTTGGCAATTAGATCACTGGTAACTTTAGAATAGTTTCAGTTGAAGGATGAGGTCAGAAGCCAGAATGCAGAGAATTAAGGAGCAGGAGGAAAGGAAGTGGAGGCACTGATTGTAGACTGTCTTCTCAAGTTTAGCCATAAATGAGGAAAGATATTGGGTGACAGTCAACAGGGATAGAAAGATCAAGTAAGAGTTTTTTGAGAGTGAGCCAGATGAGTGTTCGTAGACTGTAGGGAAGCAGCCAGAACACAGGAAGAGATTGAAGGTAAATGAGAGAGTGGGAATGATAGAAGGGGCAATCTGTTAGAGAAGACAGGATAGAATGAGATCACTTGTGCATATACAGGGTTTGCCTGGGCAAAGGTACCTTTTCATGTGAGACAGGTGTAAAGAAGGCATTGGTGAAAGAAGGTATCTGAGTGATGTGAGATGAGGATAGAAGAAGGAGCTTTCAGTGAATGACCTCAATTTTTTCAGTGAAGTGTAAGGCAAGATTCTCAGCTGGAAGGGTAGGGGAAAGGAGAGCTATGAGAATTTTGAGGAGGGATAAAGAGATTTGGAAAAACCACTGTAGTGAGTGGAATAGCAAATTGATTAGGAAAGTATAAAAGGAATGGTTTGCCATAATGAGGACCCAACTGAGATTATGGAACATAAAGCTGTAATGAATCCAGTCAACAGGATTTCATGATTATTACCAGACCTGTTCAGCAGCACATGAATAAGAGAGAAGTCAGAAGATGGTGGGAGTAATCCATGGCTGAGGCTTGGCAGAGCAAGATAAGATATAGAATCAGGGAGCAAGAGACTAGAGAGAAAGGATATCGTAGAGTTGAACTGATTCACCAAGATGTCAAGATGGGGAAGAGAGGTGAGGGTAACCAGTGCAAGGGTGGTAGCCTGGGAAAGAACTGAAGGGTCGAAGGTTTAGAGTTCATAGTGAGGTCAAAATATAGGGTTAGAGGTTGCCAGATAGAGGCAAAGGTAGAATTACAAATTACTCTCTCTTTTTTAATCAGATAAAGGAATATCAAAGTTCATAAACATGGAAGTAACTTGTAGGGGATGGTAAAATCAAGAGTATAACCATCTGTGTGTGGCTGAGGTGAGGTAGAAGAGTAGGTCATAAGCTATGAGTAAATTAAGGAACTGGGAAGCTAGGAACTTTGAGAGAGTATCAATTTGTGTTGAAGTCCCCTAATATGAAAGTAGGAGCTTGGTGTAGCAAGAAGGACAAAAACCAGGGACTGAACTCATTGAGGATGGGAGAAAAGATCCTAGAGCTCAGCAAATAAGCTACCAGAATCCTGATTGGGAGATAAATATGGACTGAATGGACATGAAAAAAGTAGAGTTTACTGAGTGATGGTGGTACCAGAGGAGTCTAAAAGTGGCTATGAGGCACAAGGAGTATTTCAACTCCTTGAATCAAGGGAATGAGTGAAAATACAACCAGTGCTGGAAAGGTTAGCTGGAAAGGCTGTGTCATCAGAAGAAGCCAGGTCTCAGTGAGTACAAGAAGATGGAAGGAATGAGAAAAGGGAAGGTTTAAGATGAAAGCAAGTTCATTACCTAGAGAGCAGACATTTCAGAGTACACAAGGGAAGAGATGATAAGATCTTGAGTAGGATTTTGGTGGTGGTGATGTTAGTTGAGGGAGGTATGAGACAAGGTTGTTGGGTTCTTTTTTCTACCCTGAATAAAGAAGACTTGTAAAGAAAGAAAGAAGACTTAGATTCAAAGCTTGCATCTAACACATACTGGCTTGGAACCCTAGACAGGCCACTCTCCATGTTGCAGGCAACTCACTAATAATCCTCAGAGAAGGTGCCCAATTGAATAGCTAGAGGATGTTCCTTAGAAGGGGACCCATGCAATCATAAGTCCAGTAAAACAAACAAACAAAAAAAGATAAATTCTTGATAATGATACAGGGACATTTACCTAAATGGTGCCAGTCCCCTTTTATAAACTTACACACAATAGCAGCTCACTAAAGGTTTGTCAGTGGTCTTGATGATTTTGAATTCACTGAGCCATCCTGTTTCATTGGGTTTCATTTTTTTAAAATGTAGGAGGGGAGTGAGGAAGATGGGGAGGTCATGTATAGAGACGGATAACTGATGGATACACCTGAACATAGATCATTGGTATGTATGCACTGTAGAGAAAACAAGAAGGCCCTTAGCACATTGACTAAATTCCCTGCTGAAGATTTACAGACGGATATGGATACAAGAAAGGGAAACACAACTGGGCTCTTGATATGTGCATGACTGGAGGGAAAGCCCTCTGCTGTGAGATCTCAGATCTGCTGAAGCATTTATAGTCACTCTACTAGAAAGCCTTCAAGAACAAAATCTTTTGTGTGGTCCCCTAGAACCAACCAACCATCCAACGAAAGCCAAAGCTATGAAGGAAGTGAGAACGTAGAACGGGTTACATGACTTCAGCTTATGAAGTAAATGAAGATATTGACGTCGGCTATCGTTTATTGAAGAGGGTCATGAGCTTGAACTTGAAGTTGCAAGTTAATTGTCCATTTCCAATTTCTCTGGGCCCATCTTGGATCAAAGATTAATTCAGTCCTTTGCTTTCCTTATTTAATGCAATAACATTGATCTGCAAAATGGTCTTAATATATCTTCTTGTGTTCTCAATCGAGGATCACTCTCCTAAGTGACGCTGCTATAGCTAATTATGTCTAGAGCACCTGGTCTTTCCTGCCCTAAGAAGTGCTAGGCATAAATGCACTGCAAAGTGATTAAAGCCTGGAAGTAAATATGGAGTGTGTGCTGTTTCCTAGGGTTGTTCGTAGTTTGCTGAGTGACGGCGGAGGTTCTAAGGACAGAAGATTAATTAGTACAAATCCTACAACAAGCACGAAATCCCAAGAAGGGGTTGTGATCTGAGCCTACCCTCGCTATGCATTCCCCGCCACGCTCCCCGCTGACGGGAAAGGCACGTAGTAGACTCTCCGAGGCCCAGGAGACAGGGGAGTTGACCCGGTGAAAAGTAGCATTTCGTCGGGACACGCACAAATCTGCTCCAAAAACGAGCGCCTTCTTCATTAATTAGGTTTTGTTTTTGACACTCCAGAGATGCAGAAACAACACTTAATAAATGTTTGTTAAATGAATGAACAAAGTAATTGATCAATCAGAAAGTCCGCTTCCGCAGCCCTAGAGACAGCCTGCTTGAGGCCGAGAAGCCAGGGTCCGCGTTTCCCCCTCTCCCCTCCCTGTCTCCCCGCACCGTTACCTTTCCCAATCCCTGGTGTCCTCAAGCTCTGCTGGGCCATAGCTCCGGCGGGCCGCGGCGGGGCGTGGCCAGGACTGGGGTGGGGGCGGGGGCGTGGACCGGCGGCGGGAGCATTAAGTAGGGGCAGGGGCGGGGGCTGAAGGTGGCACGTAGTCAGTTGCGCCACCTGCCCACTCTGCCTTGGAGCTCCACAACAAAGGTCACCACGCTATGGACACCGCCAGGGACTATGCCGAAACGCTGATAAGGTTGGTTCGCAGCGCATCTCCACGACCACCCAGTCGCAGGAAGGGGGTCTCGGGTTCACTCCCACTCCAGCCGGGCTTGCCCTAGCCTCCCGTTCCCTGCGGGCTCCGCGCTCTTCGAGTCCAGTCCCAATCTGGAGCCTTGCGGTGCGTGCCCCATCCGCGTCCCGCCGGCAGCACCTTGCCCAAGTAGGAACAGAGCCAGGACAGCTGTTTGCTTGCTTTCCTCCCCTTCTCGCCCCCACAACGCAGAAAGCCCAAGGGCTTTGACTCCTGCCCGGCTAGGCGTTACTCGTCCGTTGTTGTTCTATGGGGCGGCAGCCCTCGCGTCTTCCGCCGCTTTACCCTCAATGTCTAAAGGCTGACTCGGGCTGCAGTCTAGGTGTGCCTAGCCGGGAAGTGTGCGAGCACCCGTACTCCATCCACCTGCTGGTGCTGCTGCCTCACGCAGGGTTCCTCTGAACAGCGCAGAGGCTTCTAGCTGGTCGCTGCTGCACCGCCGGTCTGTGTGTGCACGGTGGGTGGAGAGTGCCCGTTAGAGTTTGCTCTCAAGGTCAAGGGATCTGGGAATTTGGAAGCGGCAGGAAAGGAAAATGAGGCAAGGGAGTTTTCCAACTTAGCCTGCTAGGGCTTCCAGGTGCCAGGAATTTAATGGAAATGCGGGTGTTTAGGGGTCCTGGCATTGGAAATATATGAGAAGCTGCTTGCCTAGAGGATTGCATTTGTATGAGAAAATTTCAAGATTTCTCAAGGAGTTTATGTTACCCACCAAGGAGAGGCTGAGACAGTGTCTCATGGGGGCGGGAGACTAGTAGGACAGTTGCCATTCTGAGACCCTCTGGAACCAGGAAGATGCCTCTCCAGAGCTACTTGAATGAAGATAATTGCTATTTCGAGCCCCGTTGGCCCTTGGTGTTCAGCATCAGAAGGAGATGTGTTGTGATTTAGGCGGGAATTTTATCAAATGGGTGAGGAGGAGGAAGCATGTGATCTCAGAATCTTGAGAGTTGGAACGGATCTCAGAAACCAGTAGGAGCTTTGCTTCACTGAAACACAGTTTTAAAAGTAACAGGGAGCTTAAGAGACCACAGGATTTAGATCTGGAAGGGAATCTTGGCAATCATCTAGCCCAACTTTCTCATTTTCTAGATGAAGAAATGGAGGTCCAGAGATGTTAACTAAACAATCCAACATCCTACCCATAGAAGGATCTCCTCTACAGCATCTCTGATAGATGGCCATCCAGCTTTTGTACATCTACAGTGATATCTACAGCTAGGTGGGGCAGTGGATAGAGTTCTGGCCCCGGAGTCAGGAGAATCTGAGTTCAAATCCAACCTCTGATACTAGTGATGTGACCCGGGGTCACTTTATTAAGTCACTTAATCCTGTTTGCCTCAGTTCCTCATCTGTACAATGAGCTGGAGAAGGAAATAGCAAACCACTCCAGTATCTCCACCAAGAACACCCCAAATGGAGTCATGGAGAGTCAGACATGACTGAAGTGACTCAACAACCAATGGTGACACCCCTGAACCCTGTAATCTCTCTTCTAGCTAATTCTAGCTAGCTAATGTAAAAGCTAGCCTTCCTTCAGTATTGCTTTTGGGTCTGCCTCTATTGCAGAAATTACTTTTCATCTGTTTCTTGAAAGGTTTCAGTGATCATATCTTGTCTATGACTGTCTTTGGAGGTAATGCCTTTAAAAGGTCTTCACATCCATGAAAATCACTGATGAGCTATTAGAATATACATTTAAAGTGAGGAGTTTCTTTGGAGTTGTCCTTTTTTCTGATTTGTCTCCTTCCTCTTCCTCCCACCCTCATTTTTAGCACTCTGAAATGACTCTGTATTTTGTAGTTACTTATCTGTGCAGGTTTCACCCTTCCCCAGTAAACTCCGTGAAGACAAGGACTGTTTCATTTTTGGCTTTATATCCCCATTGTGAAGCACTGTGCTTTGTATATATAGGTACTTAATGAATTCAATTGCCTCATGAAATAGTGAGTTTCCGTAACTGAATAACTTTAAGCAGAAAGTAGATGAAGACTTGGAGGATTGAAAGGGATTTCATAAATGGTTCATTGAACTAAATTAACTCTGGAGTAGGTTAGTTCAGGATAGTAGAATAAATCTTGGACTAGGAACTGTTTGTTTAGTCTTTTTTTTTTTTATTATTTGTGTCTTCATGACCCTATTTAGGGTTTTCTTGGCAGAGATACTGGAGTGGTTTGCCATTTTCTTCACTAGCTCATTTCTTAAAGATGATAAAATTGAGGCAAACAGGGTTGAGTGACTTGCCCAGAGTCACATGGCTAGTCACTATTTGAGGCCAGATTTGAACTCAGGCAGATGAGTTTTGCTGACTCCAGGCAGGGCCCCTCTATCCACTGAACCACCTAGGTACCTTGAATTGAGAATTAGGAAATCTTGATTTTGCCAAATCTACCAGAAACTGCCGTTGAGCAAGCAGTAGGTCATGACTAAACAGAGGTTCATGAAAACCAAACAGAGGTCATGACTAACATGATCTCCAGTATAATTAGGCAACTTCCTTCAAGACCTTGAGTTATTTTGCCTTCCTAGTAAAATCTCTACCCTCTTTTACCTCTCTTCTACCATGATTCCTTCCATTTCCTTATACCTTGACTACTCTGATACAGCCACAGGGCTGCTGGAGCCTCACTCACTCATCTCTTCCCAAGGGCAGAGACCAGATAGATTATTTTCCTTGTTGTTCAGTTGCATCTAACTCTTTGTGACCCCATTTGGGGTTTTCTTGGCAAAGGTACTGGAGTGTTTTGCCATTTCCTTCTCCAGCTCATTTTACAGATGAGGAAATTGAGGCAAATAGGGTTAAGTGACTTGCCTGGGGTCACACAGCTCAAAAGTGTCTGAGGCCACATTTGAACTCAGGAAGATGATCCTTTCTAACTCCAGGTCCAGCTCTCTATCCACTGTGCCACCTGTCTCTGAACAGGTTCTAGTTGTGACTTTATCTTAAACAAGCTATGTAGCCTGGGAAAAGTTACTTTTTTATGGACCTCCATTTATTGGTGTGTAGAATTAGGAGTTGGACTATATGATGTGTAAGTTTCCACCTAGATCTAACAGCTCAGTCATAAGCAGCTAGCATTTATTAAGTACCTGCTATGCCTTAGCACTATACTAAGTTCTACAGATACAACAAAAGGCAAAAAACAGCCCCTGTTCTCAAGGAGTTCACAGCAGGGAGATGGCATGCAAACAACTATGAACAAACAAGATACAGATAGGATAAATTGAGTATAGTCTGAGAGGGAAGACATTAAGATTAAGGAGGACCAGGAAAGTTTTTTTGAAGAAGGTAGGACTTTAGCTGAGACTTGAAGGAAGCCTTAGGAGGTGGAGTTTTGGAGGGAGAGCATACCAGGCATGGAGGACAGCCAGTGAAAACAGTCTGACTTGGGAGATGAAAGAGTGGGTTTTTTAAGAAACAAAAAGAAGGCCATTATCCCTAGATCTCAAAGTACATGGAGGGAAATAAGGTATATGAAGACTGAGTGATTGGAAGGGGTCATTTATATCAGTCATGTAAGGTTTTAAGAGCTAAACAGAAGATTTTATGTTTGGTCCTGGAGGTAATAGGGAGCCAATGAAGTTTATTGTGTGAAAGGGGCTTTACTTGGTCAGAACTATACTTTAGGAAGATTAATTTGACAGCTGAGTGGAGGAAGGACACTTGTGGCAGGGAGACCAACCAGCAGACTATTGCATTATTTTTTTAAAAATATTTTATTTTTTCCCCAATTACATGTTAAAACAATTTTTAAACTTTTTTTAAGTTTTGAGTTCCAAATTCTATCCCTCTCTCCCTTCCTGCCCTCCCCCCTCCCTGAGATGGCAAGCAATCCGATGTAGATTATACATGTTCAATCATATTGCAATAGGTCAGGCATTAGGTGATGAAGACCTGCAACAGAGTTGGTAGTTGTCAGAGAAGAGAAGAGGACATATGTGAGGGATGTTTTTGTTGTGCAGTTATTTTCAGTCATGTCTGACTTTGTGCCTCCATTTGAGGTTTTCTTGACAAAGATTCTGGAGTGGTTTGCCATTTCCTTCTCCAGCTCATTTTTTACAGATGAGGAAACAGAGGCAAACAGGGTTAAGTGACTTGCCCAGGGTCACACAGGCCAGCTTTGAACTCAGGAAGATGAGTTTTCCTGATTCCCGGCCTTATACACTATCCATTGTGCCACCTAGCTGTCCCTATATGAGATGCTACTAAGGTAGAAATAACAAACATGTTTCTAATCTTGTGGTAACTACAAGAAAACACACTATTGCTTGGCAAATCCAAGTCTAGAAATGACTAGTTTCCACATCAGTAAATACTTGATAAATACTTATTAAGCATACCGTGGGAGTGAATAGAATCTATGTTGCTTTTGAGAAGTACTGGTTTCCACACTTCAATTCAATATACATTTACTAGGCATCTACTGCATACAAAGCACTCCATCAGGTTCTGGGCATTCAGAGACAGAAATGAAACAGCTCCTGCCTTCAAGACAATCTAATTACCTAGGATCTATCAGATTTCTCTTCTTGTAGCAAGCTAAAGGAAAGAAGGGAGGTATTGAATTCACTCTGGATTTCCCAGCCAAGATTCATGTTTCCACTGACCATCCTAAAGATTGGACACCCTACATTTAGGAAGATGTATCTAAAAATGTTATACATTTGTAGATACAGGCTGGTTCTTTATATGTGGGATATATACAGGGAACAATGATGGGAACTCCTAATGTAAGTTGAAGACTAAATCAAAGCTGCAGAAAGCAGTCTTGCTTTTGACCATTTAAAAGTAATCTAAGAAGGTTAAAAATGTTAGTCCCCTAGCTAAGTGGAGCAGGACAGTGAAGTATAAGGAATGTGCTGTACGTTAGTTGGCTTGATTGAATAAGTCTTATTACAGAAAAGCTTAAGGAAGTTTCTGAAATTCCAAGAACACTTAGGTATTCCTGCTGAGCTTGGCACACCCTAAGGAATGAGTTAGTACCAGTTTATTATAGCCAAACTATAGCTATGGTTATTAGAAAAGTTACCCTCCACCTTCCCCAATCTGCATTGGGAAGGAAACAATTTCCTGATGACTTCTTGGAAGAGAAGACAAAGCATTTCATTCTTATGGATAGAAATAGCAAAGCTAAAGATCAAGTGTACGTAGTTGCAGTGGGAAGTGAAATTTGAATGTGTGTTCAATATGGTGTCCTTGATAGACATCTTATCAATTATCAGCATTACTTAGAACTTCAATCACTTACCTTAAAATTTTCTTAGTAAGGAACTCATGCGTTTTAATTTTTACACATATATGTATACATACAGTATGTATTATAGGTGTATATTTAGTTACTCACATATGTTATGTGTATATATGCATTTATGTTTATATAGAGAGCAAAACTATATAGATAGATATCTAGGTATAGCTAGCTAGCTATCTATAGATAGATGGATAGATAGATAAATAGATATGCAGCTAGGTGGTATAGTGGAATGCCAGATCTGGAGTCATGATGGTTATTTTTCTGAGTTCAGATCTGGCTGGAACTCCTCAAATCCATTCTAAAACATAGATCTTACTCATTCCCATACTCAAAAACCTCTCTATTGCCTCAAAGGCAAAACAATCAATTAACAAACATTAGGCACCTATCACATCCCAGATACCAGCTATGTGGAGTCAGGGATACAGACAAAAAAAGAACCTGTCCCTAAATCAAGGACCTTAACCAGGGAAGTTCCATAGACACATAAGTATACACAAAATGCATACAGGGTAAATACAAGATAATTTAGTTGGGGCAAGTACCGGTAGCTGGGAGGCGGGTATCAGGAAAAGCCTCCCGTAGGAGGTAGTGATTGGGCTGGACAGTTGAAGGAAGTTAAGGATTCTAAGAGCCAGAGGTGAGGAAGGAATACCTGCCAGGTGTGAGGGGAAAACCTGTGTCAAGCCTCAAACACAGGAGATGGAACAGCACATAGGCCCATTTGGCAAGACAATAGAATACGGAAAGCACAGTAGTGTGTAATAGATCTGGAAAGACAGGCCAGAGCCAAATTGTACAAGGTTTCAAAAGCCAAGGCAATCAGTTTGTACTCGATCCTAATGGCAGTAGGGAGCCACTGGAGTTTATTGGGGAGGATGTGACACAGTTACATGTATTCTTTAGTAATGTTGCTTTGCCAGCTGTATTCAAGGGATAGATTGAGAGGTAGAGCAACCAATAAGGAAGCAATTTCAATAGTCCAAATGAGAGATGATGGGGCCCTGGACCTGAGTGGTTGCCATGTGGGAGGGGGGAGGGAGGGAGAGAAAGAGAGAGAATGAGAATATGTTATGGAGGTTGAATTGATAAAACTTAGCAACCGATTTGGATTTGTGAGGGAGAGTGAGTAGTGTCAGTTGCTAACTTTGATTGGAAGGATGGTAGTTCCCTCGACAGAAACGAAATTTCAGAAGAGAGGTGAGTTTCATAATGAATTGTGTTTGGGATGTGTTGAGTTTGAATGGCCTGTTTCGATTTTTTTTTTCAGTTCAAAATGTCCAATAAGCAGTCAATGAAACAGAATTGGAACAGAGGAGTTAGAGACCTGGGCTTAATATAGAGACCTGGGAGGCATCTGCATAGAGGTAATTGAACCTGTGGGAGCTGGCAGCCTGAGGAGAGAAGCAAGTCCCAGAACAAAGCCTTGGGGTATATTCACAAAAAGGCGGCAGGATATGAATGATGATCTCACAAAAATTCAATTGAGACAGAGTGGCCCAACAGGTACAAGGGGAACCAAGAGAAAACAGTGTTACAAAAATCCAGCGAGAAGAGAGAATATGCAGGAGGAAATGCCAAGTGTTACGGAGTTCAAGAAGAATGAGGATTAAGAAAAAGACATAAAATAGAAAACTCCTTCTTCTGGCATTTAAGGCCTTCTGTTGCCTGACTCCGATCTCTTTCCAGCCTTGTTTCATATGGCTCACTTACATGCACTCTGTGTTCTTGACTGAGAACCTGGATGACTAGCTGCCTCTATCCCCTATGCCTAGAATACATACCTTCCTCATTGTCTTCTGCAACTCTTCTCTTTCAAAGATCAAATCTCCTTCTCTCCCCCTTTCCTCATTCTTTCTCTTTCTTGGAGTATTTCCTGATTCTTTCAGTTGTTGGAGCTCACAATTTTCAAAATTGTCTTTTATTTACTTATCTCTGTACTTACTGTTTCTTCCTCCATTAGAATGTAACCTCCCAGAGAGCAGGCACTTTGTCTCATCTAAATGTTGCATCTTTTCCAGCACCTAACCGAGTACCCTCTCTAAAACTGAGGTTTAATAAATGTTTAACTAAACTAATACACAAATAAGTCAACTGGGAAAGATACAAGGTTTAGATAAGATGCCCTCAGGGAGTTAACTTTCTACTCGGAGGATAAGCTAGATAACTATAAAAATACAATATTCTGTGCTAAGTGCATTGGATAGGTACAAAGCCCCTAAGCTATGTGTGATCTGGGATGAGAAGGGACTATTACTGACTAGAAGGAAGAAGCCTTTATGGAGAAGATTGTGTTTGAGTTTAACTTTGAACATCTAAGGTAAATAGGATTTTAGCAGACAAGTGAGGCATCCCAGGTATAAGGGGACAGTTTGAGCAAGGACACATTGGCAGCAGAGCCTAGAACTTGCTCAGCAGAGACAGTGCCTTTATTTGGCTGAAAAACAGAGAGTGTAAAAGGGAGAAGCAGGAAATAACAGTGAAAAGGGAGGGCGGTGCCCGATTGTGAAAGAACCTGAATGCCAGGCAGAAGAGTTTGACCTTTATCCTGGAGGCAATAGGGAGCCACTTCAGATTTTTAAGGGTCAGAAGATATGGGCAGATCTAGAAATAAACATCAGTTAGTCTCAGCAGTTGGATGAAGAGTGTTCTAGAGGTGAGAAAGGGAGAGAAGGATGTGTTAGACTGTTGTCATATTCTAGTTAGAGGATAAATAGTTCCTCTGCTAGGGTGGTTTCAATGAAACTAGAGAAGAGGGGTCAGACAGGATAGGGCTCAAGACTGGACTTGTAATTTCATTTCTTTTTTTTTCTTTTGGTGAGGAAATTGGGGTCAAGTACCTTGCCCAGGATCACACAGCTACTAAGTATCATATATGCGAGGTCAGATTTGAACTCAGGTCCTCCTGACTCCAAGACTGGAGCTCTATCCACTGTGCCACCTAGCTGCCCCAATTTCATTTCTATAGAGAACCTCCTCTTTCCAACTTCTGGTCTTAAGGAGCTGCCTAGAACACAGAGAGATTAACTTGGCCAAGGTCATGCAGAGAAGATGGGTCAGATGCAAGAAAAATAATTTTATTAGAAATAATGAGAACTCACATTTCAATAGCTCTTTAAGGCTTATGAACTATGTCTTTCCCAAGCCTGTAATATAGAAAACATTATCTCCATTTTCTAGATCAGGAACTTAAAGCCCAGAAAGGAAAATGTGTGCCCACTGTTTCACAGCTTTTTTCACAGCTGTTAGAGCTGGAATTTCAACCCAGGCTTTTTGACTCCAAGTTATTACTATTGTACCATGGTCCTCCTAGGTAGAGGAGGTGATGGAGAAGGCAGACTCAAAGTCTAGAGCTAAAACAAATAAACAAACAAAAAGCATCTATTGAAGACAAAGAAAAGAAACAAGCATTTATTAAGCACCTACTATGTGCCAGGCACTGTGCTTTGTGCTTTACAACAGCCCTGGGAGATAGGTACCATTGTTATCTCAATTTTACAGTTGAGAAATTATAAGCAGAGGGTGAGTGACTTGTCCAGGATCACACAGCTGGTGAGTGTCTGAAAGGAATTTGAATTTGGTTCTTCCTGATTCCTTCACTATGCCACCTAGCTGTCTCAAAGTAAGAAGGCATTGGCATGTTAGAAACATTGATACAAGAGTATGTACACTACCTGCAGTGGGGCTACCTCCAGTCATCTTGATCTATCTCTGACCACTGCACCCAGATGACTCCAGACGGGAAAGTGAGGCTGGTGACCTTGCACTGCCCTCCCTCACTTAAATCCAATTCACTTGCAAGTCATGGCATCATCTTCCTGATGTCATGGTCCTCTTTGAGAATGAAGGACAAACAACAACAACCTGCAAGTATCCCCAGCACCATTACTTGTTCAACTCTGTAAAGTTACTTAGTAAGGAAGTAATTACAATGTAAATGATAGTAATGCCAGGTTATAAAACTTCAAGGGATACTGAAATGTTCCTCCATGAAAACAGTCTAGTTAGAATATGAATAATACATTTACATTTGATTCTACAAATTGTTCTGCCCCACCCCAAGAGTCACATGTTCACATTTGATCAACTCTTCAAAGCAGTGGTGAGGAAGAAAAATAGCCAGAATTCCCTTATTCCTGAGGATGAAACGTAGGGACAGAAAGTCTTAAGTAGATTTTCAGAGATGGTTCTCTTGGTTAGATCTGTGGGAATCCAGTTGTGATAGGTATTGGATGAGGAGCATGGAAAGGACCTAAATTATAGAATCCACTTAAACCAACTAGATCATTAGCTGAAGGTAGAAGTAGGGTAGAAGGTAATTTTTTTGCTACTTCTTTGTAGATGATAAAGGTATGTTTCCTCCCTAGTTCATTGTATCTAGCAAGTGCTCAAAATTGGTTGGTCAAAGCGTTTGCCAATCCTGCTATCAATACCATGCTGGGCTAATTTAATCTAATTTAATAATCTCTGAATGACTAACATTTTATCAGGCTAAAGTAGAAATTTTGTTTTGGTCTGTTTTCACTAATTTATAATTTCAATTTTGAACCATGCTTAGCAAGTTATCCATCTGTAAAAGCTAATATGGTCAAGAACTACATAAACTAGCCCCATTAAAAAAGATTAAATTAAGCATTAATTAAGTAGTCATTATTGGTATTATTTTAGTTAAATATTAAGACCAGAAGCAGTACCATCCCAGATCATTATCTTTAAAATAGGTCATCACTAAATGTTGACAACAAAATATTTCTGCAGGAATGTTAAAGGATCCCCTTAATTTCAGTTCAAGTCTATCTCTCTGAAGCTGTATTGTATCTCTCTGAAGCCAACTGTGGGTAGAATGTAGCTAGCACTTTAGCACCTGGGTGTGGTGGAATATGCCTGTGATACTTGTTAATGGGAAGGCTGAGACTGACACATCTCTTGAGTTCAGGGGTTCTAAGCTGCAGTGGGCTATGCTGATTGGGTGTCCACACTAAGTTCAGCATTGGAACAGGGGCCACCAAGTTGCCTAAGGAGGGATGAATTAGCTCAGGTTGGAAAACAGAACCTGCCAAAGCTCTGAAACTTTTCAGAATGGGGCTAGCCTCCAAATGGACTCTGCACTTCGTGTTTGGGTAATAAAGGGAGACCTAGTCTCAAAAAGAATGTGGCATAGTGAAATGAAAACTAGATTTAGAATCAGAGCTTAGGTCCAAATCCTGGCATTGGAACTTGTTCCCTATGTAACCTGGAGAAAGTCATTTAATCACTTGGGGCCTCAGTTCCCTCATTGACAAAATGCCAAGATTGGACTAGATGAGCTCCAAAGACCTTTCTAGCCCTAAATCTATGATTTTAGGATTACTCATGCATTCAGATTGTCATTAAAACAATTGCCAAAAGGTTGTGATAACATTTTTCCCCATAAGTAGACTCATTAGTAAGTTTCTCAATTATCTTTCTGAAATTAGTAGGCTACTGTTCTCTCCAATTGGAGACAGATAAAAGAAAAATAGTAATATGATTAACATTTAGTTTCTGAACTCTCACCTTTATTAAGCAAAGTCATTTCATGTTCTCACATGACACAATTCTGATGTCACAAACTACTGAAATGAATGTAACAAGGAAGGTACAGTACTCAACAGTGTTTATTCTGGGTTTTGTTTAAGATGGTGGTTGAGTAGAACATGAGTTATCCATTTATGAGATCTTTCATTTAGAATAATGACCTTGGTTTACTAAATCATAGTGTCTGGAACTTAACTACAGGAATAGGGGAAACTGCAGAAGGTATTAGTTAACACAACTACTAAAAGATAAAGAAAAAACCATTTTGCACTGGATATCCAGGGGACCATTAGTGGGGATCAATCATCTCTCCTGTTACTAAGGTAAGTAACAGAATACATGATGTCTTCAAAGTTCACTAGATGGTTTGCTACTTGAGGTCAGGGTCCATGTCTTTGTATTCTTGAAAATATCTAGCATGGTGTCTTGCACTAAAGTTCTGCACAATCTAGACCAGGGCCACATGTGGCCCTCTAGTTCCTCAAGTTCGGCCTTTTTGACTGTTTGGATTCAATCAAAGGGCCATACTTAAAGATCTAGAGGGCCACGTGTGGCCTCGAGGCTGCAGGCTCCCCACTCCTGAAGACCCTTCTCACACAGCACTCTCTCGTCCCCACATACAATTCAGTCCTATTGGCCTACATGCTATTCTGTACATCACGTTCCCTCTCCCTTCTCTATTCTTTTCCACTGAGTGCCCAGCATGTCTGGAATTCACTTCCTCCTTATCTCTGACTCTCAGAATCCCTGGTTTTCTTCAGGTCTCAGCTCAGACACTACCTTCTATATGAACCCTTTCCTGATTTCACTT